GGAAAGAGGAAATGAGAGGCCTCCCGCAAGTCCTTGCGGGTTCCTAATTGCACCTTCTAATAGTAAACTTGATGGTTCCCATTTGTACCATCTAATAGTAAGCTTGATGGTCAGCAGGATAGTTCAGTGGGCTCACCTGCAGACCAAGCAGGATTTCCACACATTTGGGGAATTCCCCAGATATTCAGAAAAGTATTAGTTTGCAAATTTTTAAAATTGCATGATGAGGACTGAGCATGCTCATTGCTCCCTGGGAGCACTGGAATGCTGAGGGCAGTTGAGTGTCTGTAGAACAGAGAGGGAGAGGTAAATTGATCTTTCCAACTTGGTATCTTATAGATAATGGTATCCTGGAGGATGCTCGATTGCTGAGGTCAAGGACAAGGGTAGCAGTTAAGAAATTTCTCTCTCTCCAGGCAATGAGCAACCCTGTCCCTTTAACAGAGTCTTCATGGGATGTTATTTACCAGGTGATGTCCCTTACCTCCATGCCATGAAAAGCTTCGGCTGCCCATTTCCACACATTAATCCTCTAATAAAAGGGTCAGCACATTTTTCTCCAGACAGCTGGCAGCCCTGTGCATACACCACATCCACTGTCATATAGGAAGATTCTATATGCTTGGCCGTGACTACGTATGACAGAGAGCTGGTGTGTGTTATTTTTCTGTGCGGAAGGCATTACTAAGGCCTGGTCCATAGATACTACAGAATGAGGTGGCAGCATGCATCTGTACTAGTACAGACTGCAGGTTTAACTCCTTGCAAAAGAAAACTAAAACACCATGAACACAGGTTCTAGTCCATCTGATTTCCTTGCTGCACTAACTGTCCTTTTGGTGGGGAGCTTGAGAAATATGATCTCTCCTTGAAATGACACAAACCACCTCAAGATTCTACCACCTGAGTCATCTGCAAGTGTGTATTAACACTGAGTTTAGTAAAAAGCATTATGCAACCCCCCAAGAATGTAAAATTCTTATCAGAGCTATATTTCTGATATTTTTTATTCTTGAATACATATACAAGAGATGCATAGTAGTTTAGAGCTAGGGATGAATGCAACAGATTTCCAGACAGCTTAAAGGGGAAAAAATGACCAGGGAGATGTGACATACTGGGAACAGTACATATCATTATCTTGCAAGGTTACTGCTGAACAGTAAACTTTTTGGTGCTTGTGTGGTCAGGGCCTCACCCAAGATAATTCTGTATCTGAGTCAAAAATCCTTTGGCATACTCAGAAGTTCCTGCATTCACGCTCTATTGACATTTCAGAAGGAGAGAGAGAGAGAGAGAGAGAGAGAGAGAGAGAGAACTGAACATCTGAGAATTACATTGGATATCCATTTCTTTCTTGAAAACTACATCTTTTAAATGTAAAAAAACACAATTTTGTTTGGCAGGATATATAAAAGTGTGGGGTGGTGGTTAATAAGCCACGGAGTGTTGCTTCTGCACAAGTCCCCACTGAAATGAAGTTGCACGGAAGCAGTGGGTTGTAAAATGATTATATTACATGGAAAGTGACTTGAACTGGCAGTGCCTACCATATACAAAACACAGATATTAGCGTATCTCATAAAAAGCATATCCTTTCATGAATTCTCTCCCCACCAAGAGTGAAAAGATGAGCCACTCTAAAACTAGCTTTCAGTGGAAAGTTGTGCTTTATTAGATCTATTTTCTAGCTACAAAGTTCAGCAGAAATTTGTCAATTTCTTTTAACAGTCTAGCAGAATAGAAGAAAATACATGCAACTTATACAAAGCTAAGTACTGGGTAAATACATGTTGTTAAAAGAGCTGGGAGACAACAGCCAATTTGGAGATCGAGTAATATAATAATATTTACATACAGCCATATTATATATTCTTATGTTTTTCACAGTACTGTGCAAAAGTTACAAATATGGCTTTTCATTTGTTATAAAGCAAGTAAGACATAATTGTACAGAGTAATAATTCTAAATGGTTAGGACTGTTTCACCTTTTTGTGAAACCTGTTGAGTTTGCATAAACTGTACACTGCACTTAATTTGTCACCACCTTAGTTAGGGAGGTGTAGTTTACACATCTTTCCTAAGGCACCATATTCACGTTAAATGCTTTAAAAATGAAGCCATGCTTTCCTGCTGCTTATGAGAAATAATATGCTGTCGCTAGCTACATAGTATACTTGTTGGTGATACAAAATACAACATTAAAGGCTACAGTGCATGCACAAGTTCTACATATACTCTAGGAACACAAAGCTAAATCAAAAAACGAATTATACAGTGGTGCATATCAAAACATTTGGTTTTGGTAATATTTGTGGTACATGTAGCAGAAAGTTAATAAGGCTTCATTGGAATAATAATCTTATGATTGAACAAATATTTTACATTCTTCGCTAACAGTATTTACAATTGTTTTAACTCATCCTTTGTCATTTGGTAATTAATATATATGTCATATGCATCCATCTTGACTGTCTAAAGTGCTTGCTTATCAGCATGAGGAAAGAAAATGCATACTTGTCTTAAACCTAGGAAACCCATAACGCAGAAATAACAAAGCCTTTACTTGGGATGTGGACTCCATTCTCAGAATCAGAAATTTATTGCTGAATTCAAAGCCTTCACAAGGCAACCAGGTATGGACATGACATCATTTGAGGAAGAGATCGATGCCAATGATTTTGTCCATCAACCTTTTTTTGTGCTATTCCGTTCACCTGTGCTGTGTTCAAAGCCAAATTTGAGTCAAAATATCAACATGCTAATACAATTAACAACCCTACAATTCACGAGCACTGACCTTGGGTAGGCTGAAGAATATACAGCTGAGATGACTATCTGGATTTTT